AGCCAATTAATAACTGCAAGACGTTATTAATGGCTCTAATCGTTAAGTGAATTTGCGTAATTAATCGTCTGTGAGAACTGGCGAGTGTATCCATTAAGATTTGAGAAGTGAAAGTCTCGACAAAAAATGTTACTGAATTGACTCATTTCGCAAACATATCATGATCCGAATAAATATGTAGGATGTCATTTAAATGAGGATAATGACCTTGCAGTTATAAAGACAATAATGAATGATCAGAACACGAACAAACATTATCGAGAATGAGCTTGTAACAATATCAAGCAAACGGACAAATTAGACCACCTTGTGCACATACCTCCTGCCATGCACTACTCTGCATCACTAGGTCCTGAAAAATAAAATAACGATATTGTACATTGACCAGAATGAAAATGCAGATGCTACTGCTGGATAATGGATATCACGATAATGATGATCAAAAAGCAAATTCACCAGAAGATTATCTTCGTCAAGCACTCACTCAACGCGGTATCCTTTGAATTTTTTTATCTCTTCATCTTCCAACGTTCAATTGATTGTTATTGGACTCCCTACTGATCAATAAAAGTATTCATACGTTAACGAGTTATATCTGTTTATAATTCACTCCGAAATATTTAGAAAATATTGTTTATATTTTTTTTCATAACATTTACAATAATTTATGTGATTTAATCATAATAATTCTTTGCTTCTTTTTATCGACATCAGAAGCTGTTGATCACATTTTTCTATTTCCAATAAAATAGAAACCAGAATAATTGTATGATTCTATAAGCAAAAAAAAAGATAAAATACTAGTCTGAATGCGAAAATAATCTAAATAATTTCAAAAGAAAGGAATTACCATCATTTAATACTACTTGGGCGTCTTCAATTCAATCAAGTATATTAATTGTTTTTAGAGTAGATCTGAAACAGGTTTATAAGTCGAACAACTGAGTGGAAGACAGTAAACTGGGTAGACAAAGTCATCTGGTATAGAAGCATCGAACTACATTCAGCTTGAATGGTAAGAGTTTGCTTTACTGTGGACCAGTACATGAGTGACTAGCTAGCTTTGGAGGGATGAAAGAGCAAATAACGAACTCTGTCTTGCCGGCTTCAAATATAAATAACGCTTCTAAAATTTTGACTTGGACAAGTTTCACTTCCTCTTGAAGATGAAGATCCAGATGTTATTTTAAACATGATGTAATTGACATTAATAGAATTCACCCTTCAATTGATCATGATTCATTTCCTATTTGAATTGATAATCAAACTCTCTTTCAATTTTTTATATCATTTTTCAACAAATTTGAATAACACCCATGTGTTACATTTTTTACACATGTTTTATCTTATCTAATGAATATAAAAAAAAAGAACTAGAGGCCTTTTAAACTACGACTGAAAACGGAAAACGTCCGGAAATGCAGGTGGTGGTTACCAGTGCAATGTAAAAAAGGCAGTCATATATTTTCTCGACCCATAGGTGGTGTCGTATAACTAGATTTCCTAAAGTCTATCGAAGGTTTCTGGGAAATGTAACTGGCCTTTTGAACCACAACGGGATATGCACCGTCTAGACATCCAGATCCATGCAATTGTCTGGACCATTCCACATGATCACTTACTAGACACCGCCACAAAGCAGCGGGAGTGCGGAAATAAAAATTTTATTACTCTGAAGAAATCCAAGAAGTTATTTTTCTGTTACATGAACTTTGTCAATGTTTCTGTCAACAAAATTTCCGTTTTCCGATATGATAAGCGCAGCTACCAGCCTTATTTTTACATCCTCATGTTAGAATGATAGATTAATGGTAGCATTGGATACACTACTGCACTTTGGGACAACGAAATTAGTAATTAAATCATTTTTTTATCTGTTAAAGGTTGTTATTAATTGAGTGATTGGATTTATTACTCTTCAGATATTAAAAAGTATTTTCAAGTTTTTTTCTGAAGAATAAAGAGATCATTAGATGAAACGATCAAAGACTTTTAGTAATTATTTATGTTTTAGTGATATGATTGAATTTATTTTTCAATTATTTCATTTATAGATAAAAAAAAAAAATGATTGCTAATTCAACATGATACTTAAGAAAATATATAAAAATAATATTTGTTTACTTTATTGTTGGTAAGTTTTGTCTATTTTACTCGAGAACTATTAATCGTAGAAAGCTAAGATTGGTTTCATTTTATTCTCTATGAAAATCTCTTTTCAACGTATCTCGATCTCTAATGCGTTGTTTGGGAGATATTTAATTTGAAAAGTTCAAGATATTCAGAACCTTTTCAAGGCTCTAGAATCATTGATTAATTCTGAATGAAAAACGAAATTAATTTTATTCGATTAATAAATTAGTTTAATGATGAAGAAAAAAGATATTTAATGATTTAATACGTGATAATCTTTTAAGATGATCTCCTATATGTTTATCGAACAAGATGTAAAACCCTATCATTTTACCTCCTATCGAGAGCATACACATAACTTACACTCCATTACCCTCCACAATTTTTCTATAAAACATAGCAGATAGACTCAACGAGCAACGAACGAGTAAAACACATGATACAAAGGACTCTTTTGTGCTACAACGTGAAAGCATCTTGCAACTGGGTACCATATTGCGACCATCTTCCTTTTTTGTTTTTAGCTCAATAATCTTCGATCACTAAGGTTGAGACATAGTGTTCACCAAGACAATTATTTCCTCACTTTATTGCTAATTTTATATTAATAAAATAATTAAAAATCTTGCTCCATCATATTTGAAAATTTCTTGTTAATTTCCGGAATTATTTACGATGGATTTCAAAAAATGATTGTAGATACAAGAACTTGATCTCAAATGATGCCGACGTCTTTCCCACAGTTGAAGAGGCGCCCGCTATCTCTTGGCGCCTATATGTGAGACGACCATGCATTCATGCACTCCCGCTGGTTTGGCAAATTGAGAAAAAAATAATAATCCAGCTGTCGCCTACCAACTTTATAAATCATACACTTCATATTTTAAATTAATCATTTTTTTTTTGCTTTTGTCATTTATTACTTGGTTTATCAGGCATATATCATTTAATAAATGGAAAGTAGTTAGGATTGTGTAACGAGCTTTGAAGCGATCTTCAGACTCAGTTATTACAAAAATTGAGCTGTAATTCGTTGAGTTTAAACAACCATTTGCTATAAATCAATTCTTATTAGTTCCAGTAGAGTTTTTAGTAATGGATTTTTTTAAACAATGTTTTATTTACTTGCAGAATAGTGCAAATGCTATTTTAACATTGAGAGATCATCAGTTGATTACTACAAAATGATATAGTTAATGTAATGTGGAAGAATTTTTGGAGAGTTATTTGTTGAAATTTTAAAGAGCATGATAAGATTTCAATATTTCACATGACTTGGAAAAATTAATTTCATCACATGCTCATATGTAGAGCACTGGCTGTGGAAATACTTCAAAACAGGAAACTGAAAATTACAATCATAAGAGAATTTGAGAGGAAGCATCTTCATTATCACCCTCAAATAGTGTCGAATGCTTACAAGCAATATAGTAAGGAAGGTCATGAGAAAAATATCAGATGAAAAGCTCTAACAAGACCACATACAATGCTAACAGCCTGGATAAAAATTATTATATATTACCATATATAAAGAACAATTTTGTTAATATTCAGTTAATTTTTACCAAACAATATCCTTCAAATATTTTCACACTCCATTCCTAGGATCTGCAATAATTAATTTGAAATAGTGAAATTCATTTTATTGCTACAGCATGTGGAGTGAAAGGATTTTTTTGAAGTAAAAAAGAAGGACAGCTTTTTAAAAGAATATAAACACTCAATAAGGGTAACACATTGGTCATCTTTGTATCTATATTGAATAATTGAATTCACATCTCCAAGAAGCACTAAATCATAGATATGATCACAATTATTTCAGGTACATTTGAAGAACAATTTTTCGAGTTTCAGAGCGCGAAGAAGACCTCAAGGGTTTCGGGCGCCTGAAAGAGCATCTGGATTATGTTACAAGAATAAAAGGGACGATCGCACGCGTAGAGTTTGACCCAAGAGTTATGGGAAAATGAATAGAATTCATTTCATTCAATCTTGTACTAATATGAACAATGGGTCACTCATAAAAAAAATTGTTTTCACATTCCTGAAAAGTCTGAAAATAAATAGAGTTTTTCATTACTCCATAAATACTACTTTTCCTTTTAAATATAAACAATTTTTATAGATAGTAAAAATAGTTGATTATCAACAAAAACTGCTTTCTTGAATCTGAGATAAATGAGCAGTCTTGAAAATGGCGTTTAAGGTCTGTTAGCTGTGATAGAAAATTTCACATGATTTACCGCATAAATAAAGGCTTAATCACTTGGAATATCCCATCATCCAGACGTTCGCAACATCTTTGATTGGTCCAGACCACTAACATAGGCGGGCCTTAGTGTTTTATTCCTCCGCCTTGAATATATTTTACGTCATGGCTATCGCACAACATTAAGACATCTTTAGTAAAATTAATAATTCATTTAACAATACATAATTAATTAATCACATTCATTTTTTTATTCATCAAGTGAAACAATTACCATCCTCCAGAATGTGATCTCAAATTTAGCTGATCATGACAACTATATTTTTTCTATCTAATATCATTTCAATTATCAGTTTTATTACTCTTTTATCAAGATTTTGTCATTTGATCAGCTATATCCTGAATTTAGTTTACAAGTTCAGTCTTGTTAGTTTAAAGTTTACCGAGATGTCGAAAAATCATGGGGCAATGTGTTGGTGATATTTATGTGTCTGCTGTGAGGGATGATCTTAAAAAATTACCAATAGCCGTAGACGATAGCACACGCACACCCACACATCATGTTCATGTTTTGGTATCCACTACTTGACTTCTCTGTTGGTCGAAGACACATTTGACGTTTGGTCTTCGACCTGACCGTTCAACCATAACAGCTTTGCTAAGATTTCTTAATTTCCAAACTTGCTCTTCAGTGCTGAACCTGTCAATAATCACACTTTTATTTTATTTCAACGATATAATTATTTGTAATTTAATAATCAAATATTATTGATTTTCTTCAGTGTGATCTACTAATAGTGTTGTTTTTGTTGAAGAATATAATAATTAAAGAAATTTGAAAAGACTAGTACGGGATGCAATAAAATGTTATCATCCTCTATATCATTTAGTGTCCGTGATATATTAAACGAGAATCAAATTAGTGCAATGGATCCATACAATAGTCATTCTCAATCCTCTCATACCTTTCATGTTCATCAGGATTACTATGGGTACAATTCGGTGACAGATAATCATTGGGATATTGAGAAATATAAAGAACAGATCCAGTCAAATCAGATGAATAGTCAGAATTATGCTGATCTGAATCATGTGCATCATCTAGGACATGTTGGGACTGGTTATCAAGAAAATTCTATTGCAGAAGATGGTAAATATATGTTATAATTACACAATTCATTTTACTAAACTTTCATCATGATTAAAATTTGCTTGAACTAAGTTTTTATTATAATATTTAAAATCTTAAAACAATAAAATACTTGAAAGTGAATCTAAGTTGATTGAAGATGTTGGATTTATATATTCAACTCCATCACAATAATCTGTTGATTTAGTTATTAATAATATTATCTCATGTTTTTTTTCAGGAAATGTTGTGACATCAAGTAAAACAGAACTAAGAAAGAATCAATCTGGAAAAAGAACAAAGAGGAAACCTCGTGTGCTATTTTCTCAGGTAATTTATTCATTAAAATATTTTATCATTAACCAAGGCATGGAATTTCTAATTAGACCAAATGCTGAAATATAAGTTAATTAATTTTTGTAAAATAAATTATTCATCATTTTTGATACTTGCTGAAGTGTTTAGTATTGGTTTTGAAAGTAGTTTTTATAGGTTCAATGTTTTTCATAATTATTCATTGAACTTGTACTTGGTATTAATTGCTAATTATTTTCAATAATAGGCCCAAGTATACGAGTTGGAACAACGCTTCAAACAGCAACGCTACCTCAGTGCACCAGAACGTGAAGTCTTAGCCTCTACCCTGAAGTTAACAAGCACCCAAGTAAAGATTTGGTTCCAAAATCGACGATACAAAAATAAACGAGCACGAATAGAGGATGCAGAGAAGCATCTACCAACACAAAATATGAAAAATCAACCAGTGAAAAAAATTCCAGTACCAGTCTTGATCAAAGATGGTAAACCCAATTCACGCGAATCTTGTGGGATCAATTACTGGAATGGATTCAGACCAGAGTTAAGTAATCAAGGAATACAATCTGACTTTGGAGATCTTCGATTAAGTCCTGAGTATCGCCCTAATGATGTGCGACAAGACTCTACAGCTGTTGGGAATGAGTACAGAAATACCTTAAGTTCTCACCAGGATTCACACCGTGTTTTCAACTCAATGGATTACAGAACAAACAACAATAATAATCATCATCACAACAACAACTTTACATCTGGAATGAGGACGATCAAGACTGAATACAAAGATTCCAACGATCTTTCATCGTTTCCTGATCTCAAGTCTGTTTCACCTGATGACAAATGCGGAATTCTTAGCAACGACAGCCGTTCTATGATAGATATATCCAATAGTGATTTTAGTTTTTCAAGTTACAATAATTCATCTAATTATCCAATGACTTATATTAATTATATGGATCAAGTACCAATGGATCAAAGCATTCAAAGACTCTGGTAGTTTTCATGTTTAAAAATAGCTTCTTCAAAGAGTTGGATACTTTATTAACTGTTGAGTATCTTGGATAATTGAATAGATCTTTTATATGTTATATTTCTTTGTTTTATTTTCATTACTATTATCATCATGATAATAGTAATCATCATGATTATTGTCAGTCTGAAAATAGCTTAGATGTTAAATTATTCCTTCATTGTGTACTTTTTTAGTTTGTAGACTTTTTCATTGCTGAGATATAATACCAAAAATGTGACACAAAATATTTTTATAACTTTATTTATAGTAATAACAAAAATAGCAGCAATAATCTAGAGTACTTTTTGAATAAATGAATATAATTACTAAGAAAATATCATTAAGAAACGACTTGATTTGATAGGGTTGATCAAAAACAGAATGAAAAACATAAAGTAATGTAGGATAATTTGGATGAATATGTCACAATCAATCATGAAATGTGATATTCTGCAATAAAAACATTACTCAACTAAGACCATTATTAGATATTAGATATTGAAGTTGGGATGGTAAATTAAATAATCCATTCCATCAAATATTTTAAAATGGTAAAACAAATAAACTCAAGTCTGATGTATTTAACCAAATTTTTCTTACTCTAAAACCAAAAAAAATTCTTCAACAAATTTTATATATTTATTTACTTAACTTTAAGTTTTCTATTCTAAAAAATAAAATAATTTTGTGCCATGAATGTTCATAGCTTTTTTTTAATTTATATAAATGAAACATTTATTTTTATATTACCAAGATTTCTATTTAATTTTGAGTGAAGAAGAAATTTGGCACACAACAAAGATTTTCTTCGTAAAAGTAATTTGGACCATTGAAGAATCAGTTGGATTAATTTCATAAAGTTGATATATAAATAAAATAGCAAGAATTGAAGATAAAAAAATGTGCATGAAAATGAGAAATAAAAATAGTAAATTACAATTTATAAATAGGTGCATTCTGACAGGTTGAGTAAAGCCACTGATGCTTTTAGGGTTATCACGAGAGCACGATGGGTCATCTGGCAGTCAAGTGGACGCGCGTAAACTGTTCACGTCGTTTCTTCTTGTCGGGATTCGTTTGGTGATTACGGTATGGTGCTACTGATGCTATTGCGGTCCATGGGAACAAGCTGATAAAAATGTCAGGCGCAATATCCTTAGCTTAGCTTTCATGGATTAACTTTAATGTTTTTCAATTATGATAAGACATTAACTCTTTATGTAGCACCTGTATTTATTCTCATCATTTTTTAATGCTTAAATTAAACATGATCACTTTCAATGGGATTTCTTTTTCTAAATTTTCAAGTTGACATAAAGTAAATCAAACATTGAGTCTTATAATAGAAATTTTTCTTTCATTATGTGATCAAATTATATTATCAATTTCATCGATCATCAAAAGTTAAACATTGATATTTGATACGATGAACTTTATTAGGGCAACAGATCCTAAGAAATTATTTAATCTAGTCTTTCTGAAGAATTCCTAATATCGTACATGTTTTCCATTATTAAAATTAAAATTGTAAGTTCAAGTTTGCTACTTACATTATCATTAAGTTGAATCGATTGAGTCTTATATATAGTTGCTGGAATAATTACTGTTGGAAAAAAACTTATGTCCACAAATTGCACAATCTCATTAATCAATCAGAACTGTCTTTGAATTAGAGTTATTGAAGATATCCATCATTCTATTAAATCTTCTATTAGATTATGAAAATTATACAACTCTGTCACTTAAGAATGCTTGATGGAGAGATAATGAAAATAATTATAGGTGTTGTTGTTCACACAAATAAATTAAAATATAGATGAATGATACACATTGCGTAGAGAAAAAAAAATTATATCGCCAATTTAAAAAATTGCTATGAACTTGGTTTAAATTGTTTCTTCATTTATTTATAGGTTATTAATAGTTTATTTACAGCATGGCAGTGATAACTTTTTTTGATTAGTGATTGCAAAAGCTAATATGCTGAAGTAAAAATTATGGGTTTATTTATTTATTTCTTAAGAGACACATTGTTATAAAAAAAACATTTTTACTAGAGAATAAAATATTCTACTTTTTGAATAAACTGATTGGAAACGTTTACGTTTAGTTGCCAATTGTGAAATTTTTGAAATTCTTTCCAGAAATCAGTGATAACAGTCGGTATAATACCACCACTGGGGTTTGCGGTCGGTATAGAAGAAATTCCGACTTTACTCTAGATAAACTCGCTAGATAATATTCCGACATCAATTTTTAACTTGAGCACGATTCAAATCTCTCCTACAGACGGCGCTAAAATATTTGTTTAAAAATTAAGGCAAAGGGTGGATAATTTTTTGACCTTTTCTCTGATTTTTGACCTCTACAACTCGTAAAAAAATTATTCCGATAGTAATTGTTGAGAAGTATCCGAAAACTTCATAATCTGTGCTAAATGTACAACTCCATGAAAAACGTATAAAAAATTCCTTCACCTTTAAAATCGCCAAAATAGTTAGCAAACTCCCAAAACAAGTGTGACTTTTGTTCTATTTTTGCGATTTTAAGGGTGAAAAGATTTTTTTATACGTTTTTCATGGAGTTGTACATTTAGCACAGATTATGAAGTTTCCAAAACGACCTTAACGACATTTAATTATCATATAACAATTTACTTGAGTACGGAGGGTGGCGGTTGAGCTTTGCTCGCCAACGCTTGAACTCAAATGAAAAGTGCATAACTGATTGAATTAAATAAATGAAATAAAAAATATCCATCTGGAAAAGTGATCCATTCTGTTTTAATCGTCTGAGGCATATCGCACAGAAATTGTTATAAGTTAATTATATTTTATAATATACTTGTATCCACTCAAAAAAATCTAAAAAAAGTAATGATTAACAAAAATAAATCAACATCATCTACTGATGTCTGCATTCATTAGTTAAAGTAATCTAGATAAATCTTATTCGCGTTAATTGTCATGTCAATGTGTATACAAGTGAAGGAAACATAGGTATAGTCGTTGGTATATCAAGTCGACATTAAAGCTATTTCGAAGAAGATAGACAGAGGAGACAAGAAGAGAGCAAGTGAAGGAGCAGAGTCAGTGGTGATGTTAGTCGCGTTGGCGGCCGCTCCCATATATACTGAGCACTAATATTACATCTCTGAACTGACAGACGTGCGGACTTTAAAACCCAAGACTAACAAACAGTTTGCAGTCATCCGGTCTCCTTGTTTTTATATTCTTATAAGCGCGCGCTTATATACTATCGTTCAAGCTCGTTCTTCAGAACTCATGCTTAACATTATTATTTATATTTGCATACATCACTACTGACAATTACTTGTCATTTTTTTTATCAAATTACTTTCTTAACAAAAAAAATAGATTAAGGGTAACTGAAAGATATTTAATTAAGTAGTCAAAATATAAATAATCGTTAATTTGTTGTTGAATGAAAAAAACAGACCAGAGAGGAAGTAATAAAAGAGTTCTAATAAGCTTTAAGAATTTATTCGCATATATTGGGTAATTCTAAAAGATGCAAATATAAAAGTGAAAAATTAAATATTGTATTTTATTGTCAATTCATAATTTATTTGCTACAAAATGAATCATCAAGGTTTTTTTTTAAATCAAAAGAGTCCTTTAAAAAGCTAGCTATTTTTATGAATGAATTCAGTGATTAAGAGTAAATTTAATTTTGACATTCTTTCGATGAAGATAAACAAATAAAAATAATCTGAAAACGCTTTGATAAAAATAAGCCAACCAGTCTTACTGATAAATATGAATATATTTTTTTCAATTCACATAATATTTTTAAAAATGATAATGATTCATTAAAAAAATTATCTGTTCAATTTTAAACAACATCATTGTTTCAAATAATAAAATAAATTTATTAATTAAAATCATTACTTATGCTTTTTCAAATAAAAAAAAAATTGCAAGAAAATGTGTAAAGCAATAGAATTGTATTTGATTATAAATTAAATAAATGTAAAAGAAAATTGTTGAGTAAATATTAAAAAATATATTGGAGTAATAAATCGAGAGTTGCAGTGAATTGCATCTCCAAAAATAAGGCAAACCTTTAATTGAAGTAGAATACTTGTTCATAAAGGAAATAGAAGAACGATTTCTAAGTGATTGAAAGATAAAGAATAGAGACTCAGTGAGATATAGAGCGAAGAAGTCGTCCTCGTGAGTTAGGGTAGTTGAAATAAGGTATAATTTTCCGCGCCAATTAAGGTCTTTAAGAATTGCGACCAATTGAACGAGAGGGTCAAAGCCTTAGCTTAGGGGAGAATCTTGTACTGGAATCCCCCCCTGTAATCTATTATCGATTGGATGAAATTGAGGAAAAACCGATGGCCTGCTTATAAGTAACCTCATAAACTCCCAGTATTTGATAAGAAATAAAACGAGATAAAAGACAGTCAATTCAAGCTTGGCAACAGAATTTTAAAGACATCTCCATTGCATCCCTCTCTATCTATACTTGAACATTTACGTAAGCATATCAAGAATGAGTGCACATTGGTCATCATCGTGTCAAGTGAGGCATACTTTTGCGCTTCTGTGGTTCACACTTAATTAAACCGTCATAGGAACTCGGCAACTCGCACGTGACGGACAATGCTGCTAGTCTTTAGCGACAATTGTTATGTAAAGCACACCCTGTGCACGTTGACACCAACCGGGAGCGGTATCTCGATATGGAACTGAAGTAGTTCAGCTCACAACGAGTGTATATAGTGTCGAGAGCAACTTTGAAAATCGTTAGCTGCAATTCATAGAGACGTGACTTTTTGCTCTTGTCAAAAGTTTCACGAAAATTTACTTACATTTCCGTTCTTTTATGGACCCAAGATATTTACATTGAATTTTAAATGACCGAAAATTATCATTAAGTAGAATTTATCGCTTCAATATTATTCTTTACTTTTTCATAAAAGAAAAAAGATGATTAAATAATGATGAGTTTGTAAAATGTTAGAATTAATATTGATTGGCAGTAAGTAGAATTGTGTATGTTGATGAACATAAATTGTAACAAAAAAAAATCAGAAAAAATGTGTTGGCTTTATCATACTCGAGTTGAATTATCTGTGGCAAAAGCTCTCTCGCGAAAAGTACCAAGAATTACGCGACAAAGTCGTGAGAGTGGCGCCTAGACGTCATTTAAACCCTACCACAACTGGATTGGCTGTGGGGAAAACAGTTGTGTTGGAAAATCAGTGGATTGGTCGTAGGGCGAGGCTGACGGAATAAGAGGGAGAGAGAGTTTACACGTACGTTATCGACGAGGGGTCTGACGAAAATGGATAACGAATAAAGCTCCACCTACGTAAGAGCTTCCGGCGTGATATCAATGAAAGAAAGAGAGAGAAAGAGAGAGAAGCATTAGAAGACATCAAAGATGATGATTACTTGAGATGGACGACCAAAGCTGTGAGAGACCGCGAATGGAGAAACTCATTAGTCACTGGGTAATACATCCGGAAGCTTCTTTCTTTCAAGTCCTATCGAGATAGAGAAAGAAAGAGAATTATTATCGATAACTTGATAAAGAAAGCATAGCAATAAGTGTAACATTTTTTTGTTGGTTCTTTTTTATGTGCTGAGGACTTGTGGTGGGAGTAGAGTGGCGCACTAATTCGAAAAATAAGTCCCTCGGGCACGTGAAGCACACTTGACCCAAGCATACTCGTATGAAAGGGTGCAAGCTGGCTTAAGAAGCCTTTGCTGCTGTTTTTTAGTGGCACAAGTGATTGTCAGTGAATAAACTAAGTGTTAATTTCCGTACTGATATATTTTTTCAATCAATTATATTTTTGCTACTGACTATTAACATTAAATTTATTATTCAGTTGATAATCTAATTTTTTTTTAATTATGTTGATGGGTGTTTTGTAAAAAATAGTTTATTTTTTACAACCAATGTGATTTTTTTTAATATTATTTTTTATATCAGTATTTGATGAAGAGGAATGGCAGCTGAAACCAACGAGATCATATCAAATTCCTCCAAACCATCATTGTCAACTCAGCCCACACCATTCAGCATCGATCACATTTTAAGTAATTCATCCTATCAAGTTGGCCAAACCGAAATCCGTCCGGTGGCTTTTGGAGAAACTTACAAAACCCAAGAAACTTTGGAGCAACCGCTAGACAATCAGAGATACGATAGGATTCTTGGTGGATCAGTGGCTGATCATGATTCCCGATTATCTAGTGGATCAGCTTTTGCCAAAAGATCATCATCTCCAGAAAGCAGAACAAGTGTGACTCGAGAGTTGGATATATTGAGGAGAAATCTAGTCCAGACAAATTTATCGAATTTTAATGGTCTTCCAACTGTTACGAGAACGGGATTTGAAGGATTGGATGGTCTTGGAGGTATTGCTGGGTTTCGAAGGATTAAAGAATCGAGGGAGTCAACTAATCGCCAGCAAGATGAGGCTTTAGATATGAGCAAAAGCAAATATCTTGGTAAGTTAAATGGCTTAAATCAAAATAAATAAGTGTTTCGGATTTTTAAGTTTCATTTATATTGAAATCTTGATTTGATTACACTGAAACTATAATTATTGTAATTTTTAAAAGATAAAAGTATTATATGATTAAATAATTGTTAGTAATTGATAAATTCGTTGAGTAAATAAATTAATAATAAATAGTTCCTCTATCAAACTCTTATTCCAATTTGTTGGAAGCTGTCGTTAACTTCTAGCTAGGATCTTAGAGCAATAACCAAAGTAATCTATGATAACAAAATTATTCTATGTATCTTTTTGTACAATAAGTGTCTATCTATCTATCTATCTATCTATCTATCTGCATGTCTTCTGGAGATCTTCAATTCCTCCAAGTTAAGTGAATATAGAGAATTGAGTTCTCCAACAAAGCAAGGTGTCCAAGATTTTTAGCAAATTCCAACTCCACTGATATGAGAGCTTGAATCATCTATAATGAAAAGACGAATGTAATAAGGATCCCAGATATAAGACCTCTTTCGTCCTCGAGAGTTTTTTAAGTTAACCCGAGCTACGTAGATAACGTAATTGAATGTAATTTTAGTAGCATAAGTGGCACTCGACCAGGCAGACGTCACAAGTGGCTTGAACTACTATAGCCAGCCTCTTACACTTGTTGGTTTGCCGTCAGATCCCTCTCGTTTTTCGGCGTCTATCCTCTATAATGCTATCACCCTTAAAGACAGCTTTATAGCATTAATCCAGAGATTTTTGCCACATTCACTTACCATGACTTCCTGATCTCCTCTATATACTTCCATTTGGGAGCTCTTATCAAAACTATTATGATACGTTTATCACAAATAAGGTGGGGAACGTATTAAATTACGATGAAAGTTGATTGAGCTCTTTTCCGCTGCTTATGTCCATCTTCCACAAACATAACTTCATCCCCTTCTAAAAGTGACTGTCCGTCGATTCAGTCAATCTTTGACTAGTAAAGAGGAAGGATCAGCTTATTTTATTCGTTCAATTATTAAGAATAATTTTCATTGATTCTTTTGATTTTAAATATCACAGAAGGAACCTTTTGATTTATAACAAATTATTTACAGTAAAATAATTATTTGGTTTATTATAAATTTTTTAAACCTTAATAAAAAAATTTTTTTTTGAGTTGATTTTAGATTTGCATCGTTTTATTGTTATTTTTTCCAATGAATGATATACAATGAAAAAATTCTTAGGTACTCTTTTTTTCTTACTTATTCTGGAGCACAGTGAGTTGAAAGACAAACTGGTTTTTTTTATATTTTAATAATCTAAATTTTACTATTTTAATTTATCATAATTTTTTATAGAATATTTTGGAAAAATACTACTTCAAAATCATGGAATATTATTGAAAAATTATTTTATCATTAAAAATTAAAATTATGTAAAAATTGAAAATCAATCATAATCTTGTTACGTTAAAATAAAAGGGTATTGAATATTATGGCACGCGAGACTAAACAGTTTGGGTGAGGTACCTGGCTCTGGTTAGCAAAGAGGAATTGCCGAGTATGAACAAGTAAACAACGGCACGTGCAGTTAAACGTTTGAAACAAGACTTCAAACGTATCTCACTTGTTTCTTTATCTCATATAATTTCTACTATAATTATTTTTCGTACGAACACATGACAATCTTTGTCATTTCATTTGGCTTTTAAGATTAAAGTGAAAGGATGAATATTGATTTGATTACAGATGAAATGGAGGATGATTTATATGACAATCAATCACATGGACAATTACTGCAGAATAGGAAAAAGAGAAGTAGAGCTGCTTTCTCACATGCTCAAGTTTATGAGTTGGAAAGGCGATTTGCTGCACAGAAATATCTCTCTGGACCAGAAAGGGCTGATCTTGCTCGAGGACTGAAACTCACAGAGACTCAAGTTAAAATTTGGTTTCAAAATCGAAGGTAAAGATATATTTTTCATACTAAATTAACAATTAAAACGAACAATTTTTTTTTTTGATTTAATTTGAATACAAAAAGATAATTTATAAAATTAATGTAAGCTTATTCTATAAAGAATAAATTGAAAAAACAATGAACAAACAAAAATAAAAAACAGATGTGAAAATAAAAAAAAATTACATTCATAAGAAGTAGCATTTCAAAGCCAAAGAAAATTTCCATGCTCCAATTCCGAATAAGAAAACAAACTAAATGAACTAATTGAACAGGTACAAAACCAAAAGACGACAACAACAGGAATTAGGAGCTCTAGTTAATTCCAATGCAGCAAGAAGAGTGGCAGTACGGGTACTGGTGCATCCTGACGAACAATTACGAGGATTATCTCATCTGCGTAATTCCGGATTACAGCTATCTGGACAAATCTCATGTCCACCACAAATCCACCCATCAAGTAAAGCTTTTAACGCATTTCCATACTACTGCCTACCCTATCATCCACTTCTATGTCCTCCCCTACATTCGCCTCAGCTACAGGTGCAGACCAGTATCCCAGAGCTGGAACAAATCTCACAAGAGGCTCAAATGTCCAAGATGAATGACGATAAATAACTAGTCGCTCTGACGTTGTCATAAAATGAAATACAATCCTTAGTTAAATATATATATATATATATATAAGAGGGAGCAAAGCACTATTCAATTGTCATTTTCAATGTATGTATTGGTAATAGCATGATCATGACTTTTACTTAATTATTTAAATGAATATTCAATAATAGACGTATGCAACACAGATGCATTGTTCTTGATAGATATTAACGATAAATCATCATGTGACGTCTTGAAATAATGTACTTACTATTGACATAATTATGTGGTTAGAAAAATTTATGTATATTAGCTTGTAAATAAATGTATAAATCACGATAAATTATTTAAACTATTTTACACACCTTTATTTTCCAGTATATTTTATTTGTATCAATCGTTGGTATACTTGATTTTAAATCCAGCTTTCACAAATTTCAATACATTGAATTTGTACACAAGTAACTGAACCCGGATGTACTCAGGCGTAGCTATATCGTTGTAAATTGCTGTCGACAACCCCTTGGAACTAAATGTTAGTTCAATGAACCATCATATTCACACATTGAATAGAAATTTTGTCGAATGGGTGTCTGATACGAAAATATGTGTGGATGCAGTAATCATTTCAAGGCTTCTTCCTGCTTGTTTATGATGGTGACAATTGATTGATAAATTTTATTCTAATAAATTTATTTATATTATGAAAGTACAATTATGACTTCAAATAAAACATTAATAATATTTCATCTTTATCATTTCAAATCAATAAATAAATTAAACATTTAATTAAAGGTTCAAGTAATTTATTTATTTAATTAAATAATTAACTTTTGGGTCTTTTTAATTGAAATATTTTATTGCCTTTTTTTATAAGTGTATTGAATAAAATGTTTTGGATAATAAAAAAATTTTATTAACTGTCCTAAGCTTATAGAAATTCTTCAACTGTTGATAGCTGTTAAAAAATGTTATTTCTAAATGCAAGGTTGTTATTTTTATATAATTTTTGCTACTAAATTCTTCCATATGTCATTCCAAATGTAAGCAATTTTTTTCAAAACTATCTCTGTCTTAAGTACTTGAAATAATACTCAACACTATTTAAACGAATCCACATCGAAGCTCTCATGTGATTTTTTATTTCCGAAAAAGGGTGTATTAACTGAGCCGCGACAGAAGTGATTTTTTCCCAATAAGTGTTTTAATAGTTCTGACTGGGTGGCCCGGGTAGACATCAGATATGTTTATTCAGACGTAAAGACGAGTCCGGAGAGAGTTTAAGATCGTCAGGGACCGTCGTCACTGGAAGTAAAAACCTCTGGGATTTTATACTCATCCGGTACTGGCAAAAGAGTTACATAATATATATATTTCTTTACTTGTCATCAGTGCCGACGTTCATTTATTCGTATTTGTAGTTAAATTCGTAACTTGAAAATGAATTACAATTAAGCGTTGTTGAATATGAATAAAATTCATTCCAAGAATTTTATTGATCGCTGATATATACTTTGTACTACTGCAAATCATTACCGTTGTGTTTACGAGTATTTATAAACAATTGCCAGCCATAAGCATTCAGTGGCTGACATGGCAGAGATCTGTAGAGCTTCACTGGCTTTTTATTAGCATTCAAGATGCTTCCTATAATGATAAACTTGTATAATTTGCACTCCATTGTTTAAGTTGAGTTTGATATGCAAAAAAAAATGATCAAGTATAAAGCAAACATTTTTAAATAAATAAATTAAATTTTTTTAAAGAATGTGGTTGATTTAATTTCATTAAAGATGTATTTAATAGATTTATTGTACAAGAATTTTTTTCATAAAGCTTTGAAAATGGAATAGCGCAAATGACTGCGAAATTAATGGATAGGGTGTATAGACCAATGGATGAACCCTACTTTAAAAATGAATAAATAGTTGAAGCTAAAAGAAATCATGATTTCAAGACTACACAATATTTATTATTCTTTAGGTCCATCTGTAAAAAAACGATGCTGCGGAATTATAAAAGAGTTTATCTATAAATAAAAATGATAATAATATTTTTCAATTACTAAAATATTTCATTAAGTTTCATTTCAATAATCGTGTAGAAAAATAAATACGCAAAAATTATAGAATTTCTTTTTTCAAGAAAAAATTCATTGATTTAAGGTAAGAAAGGTATTTATTGTGAAAAGATTTTTTTTTTAAAAACATATTAGCGTACTTTCAATATTTTAATTAGCAGAGCAATTGTAATTATAGAATTTCCTCCACATGTATATAAGCTTTCAAAGTAATTAAATAAAACGAAAAACGACACATTCATGAAGTTTAAATCATTGAGTAGTTGTTCGTCAACTTTATCGCAGTAAAGAAAATAATGGAGGGATGAGGACAGCAGTGTCAGACTACCGAAACACGAAAGGAACGATTTAACGCTCAATCAAGTGACTAAAGCTAATTTTCATTAGCTGCTAACAGCACGTCCGACGGGGGCTGAACCCTCGATAGATCCTCATCCCTCTTTTTACTCTTCCTTCAAAGCTCTTATAGCTGAGAGCAGCATACTATATATAGATGTATGTAGATAAATGCTTTCCTCAACAGAAAATTGCATACCCAAGTATCAATTAAAAATTCTCAACTTGTTAAAGTCTGAAAAATTCCCATGGAAAAATTCATGTTGGTCTAGTACTTACATGTCTCTAAACTCGAAACGATTATCAATTTTTTACGAGTCATTACAAGGTGGGAGGAATATAAAAAAAGCTTTGATTTCTCTACGGTCGTTCCTCTTACAATCACGGCAATTCGTAACTGCGTGTATTTGAAAGTATAATCGACGTCAATTTCACGCTCGTATATACGCCAGAGATTTTTCAATTGTTATATGATGAAAAATATTTAATATGTCTGGCTGTCTAGTGGTAAAATTTCTCTTAGAGTTGAAACTGGAGTATATCTGTACATCTTTCAACGAGCTTCTATTACTTGCTTTCATATTTAACATTAAAAAAGAACAGCTCATGTATAATAGATTCATTGACATTATAGCTGATGATATACTTGTAATAAAATATTATTTTTTTTTCATTTGAGGAAACTATATTATTGACCGAAGAAATAATTAGATAACAAGATCTAAAAGGGTGAAAAAGTTCGCACTTGATCAACTCTTTAGAAAATTTCTCTCAGGTTCTAAAGAATACTACAAGTTGTTATTAAATCAAATTTTTTGCGATTTATTCTAGAATTATTATGTTTCTGTATTTATTAAAAATCATTAACAAACATTTTTTATAGCTTGCTGTTACTTTAAATCAATTAGAAATAATAAAAAATTATTCTTTGCATAAAAAAATAATTAATTTTGGATTAGAAATGAGTTGGAACCTCCAGAATTATAAAAGATAAGATTTAATTTATTTTTACACTCAATCAATTGTAATAATTCTAATTCAGACGATTGATGATGAATTTATTTATCTGTATGTTAATAAAGTTGCGACTTGAATTATATATCAGGACCTAATTTATTGGTACTTCAATTTCTAATAAATATTAATAATTTTTTGCTGAAAATGAAAAAATATTTTGACAAATCTTTCTGAGTATATTATACAATCCTGTCGTTCCCTTGGCAACGATTCTGATTGAGGCACGTAACAGCAGTGAGATAGGTACGTATGAAGGGCAATATAAAGTAAAAGAACATCCAAAAAGTGGAGTCTTGTCACGATAACTTGGTGAAAAGTATGAGGACGCTATTTCATCACGCTGAAAACTCCCAAGAAAATCTCGAACTTGGAACCAGTAATTCTCTTGGTGTATTAGGGAGTATGAGTTATATTCTTGAATTGTAGTTGACGAGAGTGTGGGCGCCTGATAGGACTTGTGAATAAAATTCATGAGGAGTTTCGTAATGCGATTGACGTCTTCTCTTAAAATGACGATGGAAAAAGTGATCAAATTTCTTCGACGAAAAAAAAAACATATCAAAGCTGGAAAATTTATTTTTTCGATAATAAGAAAGACAGTAGAGGAAGCACGAAAGATGATAAAAAAAAAGAAAGGGAGGGAGTTGGCGAAATTATCGGTGGTCGATTGGTGGAAGGAAAACGTTTTACTGCTTCAAACGACTGAGTATCAAAGAGGCAATTTAGTGATTTTTCGTGGCGAATCCGGCGCCCAAGAAAATTGTCGATCGACTAAGCCAATCAACAGCGCTTCATGGAGTAGAAATAAGGCGGGGAAAGATGATAGGAAAATGTCTTTTGTATTGTCTGAAAAATAAAAACATTTTAATTGAGGTAATTTCTATTTTATCCTGATTATATTCAACGTTTCTTCAATATTGATAACAATTTTCAATTATTGTTTTGATGTTATAAATTATTAGAAAGACGTTTAAAAGATCGCTCTCTCACAATAGCTGTAATGGAGTAAGAGGTTATTGCATGATAGTTAAAATAATAAATAAATTATTCTTTAATTCAACAATAATAGGATCAAATTATCAATCTTAGATCGATCAATAGATTTAGGAGTGTACTTTAAATTAAAAGGAAGAAAAATTGACTGGTCAAAGTTCAAAAAGAGTATCAAATCATGAATATGTAATTTTTATAATCGAGTTATATACAGTGGAATGAGCACGAAGAATTGAGCGAAACCTCCATAAAAATGTTCAACCCAAGCTCAAATATCTTACTTTAATGTAATCACGATCAAACAATTACCACTGAACAAAGAGCTTGATTCTGTTGTGTTTCTGTAAACGGTATACGAAAGATGTTATCCAGAGTAGCTCTTTCAATGAACAAGCCGGGTATATACAAGCCACATCGTTATAGTTGTATGAACAAGAAGAACATCTTGGAATATCGCCAATGTCATATAGCTATGAAACCTCGTCCTTAAATACGAATTATAAACCAATCTACTAAACAGACGGAAATGTGGAACCAATAATTTCTGATATTATTACTTGTTATTATTAACTGTAGCAATGTTTTCAAGAATGATGATGAGAAATAATCATCCCATAATAGATCACCTCTCTAAAAATTTGATGATATGGAATTTTGATTTACTACACTCAATTATTGAGTTAAAGATTTAAATGTTCTCATCTATAAATAGTGTTCAAATTACCAGGAGGGTCTGTGGCAACATCGTATTTTAGCGG